ACAAAAAGCTCTAATCTAGTTGATAATTGTAATTTTAAATGTACCTCAATTTTATGGAATATCGATGAAAATATTAATAAAATATTGATGTCGATAAATATTTCTGAAAAATTATTAAAATAAAAAATTTGTTACAAATAAGCATTTCACTGTTTTTTATTAAAATAAAATTTATTAATTTTAATATCGTGTCCATATTAGTGAACTTTTCTATATTTTGTTAAAATTTGTGAATACTATGAAAATGGACAAAGTAATCAAAGTAACCTCAAATTCATAGCACATATGAGGTAAAGTTCAAGAAAAAAAATGTACACAATTTAAGACTTTTTTTTTTAATACAATATGTGGGGGTGAGGATCGAACTCACACCTTCTTGATTTGAGATATATGTCAAATATGCTCGCTTTGGCAATTTAAGACTTTTTTAAAACTCTACAAAATCCAAATTAAAAATTATATAATAGAAAAACAATCAAACCTTAAAAATTTAATAATTTACAGAGAAGAAAAAAAATATTGGTACAATAATTTATAAAAAAAAATATTACACATATATAACGGCAACTTATAAATTGAAAAGATAAATCCAACAACAAATAAACTAAAACAAATGTGCGACACTAAACTAAGATGAGATTTTATTTGTATGACTATTATTTTGTATATAATATCCAACGTTTCAAGAGGTGGCCAAAACCGCCCTACTGTTCCAATTTGTGTAAGGATCCACGAAACAATTTAAGAACAACGGTACCTCACAATGGTATAATATTGTCTGTTTCTAGCACAACCCTCAAATGGCTTTGTTTTTTGTTTCACCCAAAAACTTCATATCAACGTAGATAATTATGTTTTAAAAGAAAGCACGATATAAAGAAAACACAAGAATACATATTTCTCTCCCCGACTTCTATTATACAAAACACTCTTAGTTAACTAGAGTTAGCAAAGTGCTTCAATTGAGATAAAATCTAAAGACATGAGCCCTTTTTATAGCGGTTGAAGCATACCCCCTTCTTACTTTTCGATGTGGGATAATTTATTATTATAATATTTTACCAAAATTCAACAATTTCGTGTTTTCACAACCACCATTGATGGCTCCTCCTACACTTTGCAGGTGATCTAAATAGGGACATCCCGCCCCATTTTCTAGTTTTATTATATATTACCGAGTGATAATTTCAAGTGTAAAATTAAATTTTTTTTTTATTTATTATTATTTTTTATGAGTTATGGGACCTTAAAAAATTTAAGAATTTTTCTTTATAAATAGAGATTCTCCGTGGAGAACCATCTGACATATTCCTGAAAATTAAGATTTAGTTGAGAGTACTTTTAAAAAACAATAAACCGTTGAACTAAAGAAATAATAATAAACAGTGAGTAATAATTCCCTAGGAAACCTGTTCCCCACAAGTTACCCCACCCCAATCCAAGCCCCTCCATCAGACCTCCATGTTGCAGCACAGTCGAGATGATTTGTAAAAACACTACTTTCACCTATGTATTTATTTATTATATTACATACTTTTGAAATATAAGTCAAACTTTGAAAACTAACATAAATACTTTTCACGTTTGTAATTTACTTGGCAAAAAATACAGATGTGTTTTTTTTTATATCCATGGGTATTCGGACCAGCTTATGCATACCTCAACTAATCTCACGGGAGAATCGCCTAACCCTACAACATTTGGTGTCGGAAAACATATAGAAATTACTAATTCCTAAAGTAGATGGCCATCATTGGATTCGAACAAAAAAAAAAAGTAAAAATATATTAAAGAAACGGTGAACAAACAAACATAATTTTCAGAAACTAAAGACTAAGAACGAGCCATAAATGTTACCATCCTTATAATTTATGCTGGTTTCTTTCCCTGATAATTATATTGATAAAGGAGGAAAAGGAGAAGGGGAAATCCTACATATATGCCTGCCAGGAATGTGTTTTTTCTTCTAGACTTCAGTATCATGCTAGAAAGAAAAGCGAAATTAACAAAATGGATAACACCTACTACTTCCTACCATAATTACAGAACATGTAAACCATGTTACTACCAACAAAATACCAGTATACTATTTTATCTGATCCATTCATCTGCAAATACAGTGACCTAAATTTCCAAGTTATGCTTGTGGCAGAACCCTCAGGCATGATGGGTCCATCCAAGGCTGAAAGGAATCCTCATGTGACAGATTCTGACCAAAAAAACAACAAAAAATATCTTGGATCGCAGAATCTTTCTCAAAGATGAGCAGTTTTACAAAATTATTCTTAGAAAAGCTAAAAAAACTCACTGTCACCCAAAATCTGTGCAACAAAAAGTTCAAATGAATGAACTCAATATGGCAAGGGAACAGTTTTCTTAAAAGCATGAAGTGCACCAAGATACAATAGCCTTTCAGGGCTGAAGGGTTCGGTGTAGAGGTAAACGGTCTAAGGGCAAGGTGTAAAGTGAGAGCATCAGTGAGGTGAGGTGCACGATATATAAAATGTACATATAATATTAATAATCAACATAAAATATGAGCCTGAGCGTGTACTTAAAAATAAAAAACATAAGATAAAGAACTAACTATTAATTATGAGTAAAGTTGAAGTCCCAGGAGTCTACAAAATCATTAAATAGAACTACAAAATCACGTCGCAAAGACCTAATAGCTACAACCCATCATTGTTGAATAGGTTTTTGTCATCTCCATTATACTCGTAGTCCTCCATATTTTCCTCTCAGAGTTTAGTTTTTTTATCTCTACTTAACTAAATTTAACCATAGTTTAAAAAAAAGTGTCGTAGCAAGAAGCGCATGCTCAACGAGTCCAGACATCTAAAGCATGAAGCATGCTCTTTCTTTCGCTTTTTGAGGATATCACATCACAAATACGAGGTAAATACTTGAACCTCCAACCTCTGAGAAGAGGTAGGGATATCATAACCACGAGGGAACACTTCTTGGGGCTCTTGAGAATATAATGCAAAGGAACTACAAAAGGCAGTCTATTAGGGGTACAAAGTAACCATCATTCACATCCAATGTGACATGATACATCCAAATATGTCATTTATCCCCTTCCGGGAAGAAAATGCTAGAGAGTGACCAAAAATGAAAACCCTCAAAATCTGCAATAGACTACTGGAAACATTCTCAGTAAGAAAACTTCCAACCTATTATTACGAGGTTAGAAATAACATTTATCTTTAAACTCACTACAGTAAAGTATGAGAAATCAATAGTAATCTCGACTCGAATGGGAAAATTTTAAACATATTTTTTCATTTATTTGTTTCCCTATGTTGCCTATCTTTTTGTTAACCTTTTTTTACAGGAAAGTTAGAGGAAACCCCTCCCCAAGGAAATAAGTCATGAGCGTCTTGAATGGGAAAATTTTGAACATATTTTTTCATTTATTTGTTTCCCAACGTTGCCTCTCTTTTTGTTAACCTTATTTTTTTAATAGGAAACTTAGAAGAAACCCCTCCCCAAGGAAATAAGTCATGAACGCCTCCCAATTGTGAAGGATCAAGCAAAGGAAAATAGTTACAAAAGAATTTGTTGGAAGTGTAGCACCAACTAGTAGTAGTAAACTGTACATTACTCTACAAAATAGGTAGATCAAAAGAAGCATCCTCAAAAGTTCTGGCTTCTGCGACTTCTTTCTAACCATAAATTCCACAAAACCGCAGCCATAGCAAAGTTCCACAGGTTTTTTTTCGCTTTTTTGAACATTGAAATAGCCACCAACTAGGCCTTGGGTTAACCAGTCATCGATATTCTTAGGGATGCAGAGGTTAATGTCAAAGATGCCAAAAACTTGTGACCAGCAATTGTATGCAAGAGGATAGTGGAGGAAAGCTGATTTAGAGACTCCGCTTCACTTGTGCAGAGGGAGCAGATGAGGGGGAAAGAGACCAACTTTTGCACTTCTTCTGTAGGCGATTGTGGGTGTTTATGCCTCTGTGAGCCAATGACCAAAGGAAGATTTTTATCTTCTTTGGAATCTAAACTTCCAGATGGCAGAAAAGGTCAAAGGAGAGACAGAGGAGTTTGGATCACTTGGCAGGGCTTTAACAATCTCACAAAAGTGGATTTTGTCATAAAGACTCCGGAAGCATCAAACTCCACTTCACCCAGTCTTTGGAGTCCCCCAGCCACACCATATCTAACTGTTTTATCCGCCCCAACCAACTGTTGAATTCTCTGTCAAAAAGGCCCCTTTTGAATTCCAAATCCCAGTCTTGTTGGTCCTTGTCCAGCAACTGTCAACGTGTCCTCCTTTCTTGTAGAGATCAGGGAAAGCCTTCTCCAAAGGTTAATCCCCTATCCACAAGTCCTTCCAGAACCTTATTTGCTACCCATTATTAGCTTTGAAAGACAGAAAGTTGAGGAAAAGGTCTGGTATTTTTAGCAATATCATACCACGGCCGACCTTTGGCTGCACCTTTAGGGATAGCAGTCGTCCAACCGTGAGGTTGGATCTTCCATAATTCAGCGCCAGAGGGCTTTTTCCTCTTGAGAAAATCTCCAAAGCCACTTTAAGAGGAGTGTGTTGTTTTGTTGTTTGAAAGAACCAATACCTAAACCCAAGCGTGAGAGGGAGAGAAGTCCACTCCCATTTAACTAAGTGGCTACAAGGGTAGAAACAACCTTCGTCCCAGAAGAAATCTCTAACATACTTTACCATAATTTTGATAACCCCTTCAGGAGCTTTCAACAAAGAGTAGTAGAGGGGAGAATTTTATTTCCTTTTACCTGGGTTATTTAGTTCCATTATTATAACTCAATAATATATTTACCACTTTTTTTTTCACACAATTTCATTAAGTTCCTATTCAATAACAGTTATAGCATTGACCAGGGGAAAGAGAGAGATGAAAATCATTTTATAATTTCTTTTGCACACCCTTAAAAATCAAACAGGATTGATAAGTCAACTTAGAATGTGAAAGTTCATGATGATGCATGCACACAATCAACTACCAGAATTATTTATTATCATCCAAAACTGTTTCTGCAATCTAAATAATTTGAATAATGATCATTAAGGCATTAATTGAGCTAATCATAATTGCCGAAGATGTCTATTGAAGAAAAATGTTCCACAAATAATATAAAAGCTACCTGCAACCAGTAGAAGAAGCCACGCAGTAGGTTCAAAATTCTGGGGCAATCATATGGTGTGTCGCCAATTTTCATAGCAAGCTCTGAAAAGAAAAGAATAATAATAATAATAAAACAGAGAAGATATACTCAATATATAGAATCTTGCTGATAATAAGAAGCATCATGCAAATAAATTTGAAAATCTAAGCGAAGAAAGTAATGGCACAGAAAAAGGCAACTTACTTGCAAAAAAATTTCACAAACAACACTTAAATGTCCAAAGGTTCCTTTAACACTTATTAGTTAGTTCTTTGAAAAAACAGAACAGTGATATATGAATATCTTAAGAAATAAAATTGGGGCACTTTGTGAAATAAGAATCTGATAAAATATCAGATTGGGGTTAGAAGATTCTCTCTTAAGATGAACCTTCCAGGAAGTGGTATTCGCGGAGGAATCTCTTAGTTGAAGAAGAACGATAACAAATATCCAATCAATGTAGTTCTAATATAAAATTACACTGGGATTGAACATACTCACCATCGTAGAGATCCAGATATGATTTTGTGCGAGAGCCCAATGAATATGATTTTAGTACTCCATTACGTAACTCTCTCCAGCGGAGACGTTCCCTACAGAAACTTGCTTCCTCGAGTAAACAATTGTACTCATTCTGGTCATATGGTCTTCTAAGATATTTCATGAGTCTCTCCCTGAAATTGGAACTTTTACATGTACCGGGACACTGAAGACACTTCCCACTATCTACATCCATCTGCAAAGTAAAGAAATCTATCGATATACAACATAGAACAACTAACATGGACATAAAACAGAAACTACAGAGAGATTACGGCCCCAGAAATAGATACTCACAGCAGTATGAAATGATTTTCCCCTAAATGAAGCATGGCCTGGCTTACATGGATTAGTGTCCATCATCACCACTTCCGAATCAGATGTACTCTCTTCATCCTCGTATACAACTGACCTACCATCTACTGGTGTATATACCAATCTATGATCATAATCATCATAAAGAAAATCTGTCAAAAATATCTTGTAGTCTTCGTCTATCACATCTGACTTAGAATCCAATAGGGAAGGACACTTAGCTGAACGAAGAAGCCCTGTAACAGTCATTGTGTTTGATGAACTATTCAGCCCAGGAGAAATAGGCTTTGCACAATCCAGATTGAACTTTTCCTCAACCAAAGGAACCATGCTTTCTTTAGCTGGACTATCACTTAAAGGGCTATCTTCGATTGCCCTTGAAAATGCATTTAAACCCTTAGGTTTCTTTTCATGTCCAAAAACCTCGCATGATTTTTCTGTGCTCTCTATTTTCGATTTCCTCGAAGCACTCCTCAATACTCTGATAGTTCCAGTTTTTTGCCCCTTCTGATAATTTTTCAAACTCGATTGTGGGCCATCAGACAGATGTTCTTCTTCCTCATACTTAACACACACTTCCATCCCATTAACTGATGGAACTTCGAGCTTATAAGATTTTCCCTCTTTTGTCAAATGTTCAAAGAACATCTTATAAACAGGATCAACATCTCCATCCAACCATTCACACCGTGAAAGCGTGCCATTATCATTATTATTACGCCCAAAATCCACAACTTTGGCCTCAACAATCCCACCACTGTCCTCCACAAACTCTGGCAAACTATTCAAGAATTCCCAATAATCCTCATCCTCCAGACCACAACCTCCCTCCTTCACATGCTTCTTCGCAATTTTGCGACAAGATCTCTTACATCGTTGATTGGCAACTACCCTTCTCTTCAATCGCCTATCCAACCGCGCATCGAGTGAATGAACAGCAGTAATCTTGCCAACCATTGTATCAAAAACCCAAAGGACTCTCTTTTACAGCAGAATGATCGCCTAAGAAAACGATATAGCTTCGTTTCCTCGTCCCTACAGAACATACATTCTTGATTCTCCCACTAACTTGGAGATTTCAAAGAAGATAGAACAACTATCGTACCCATTAGATGTCTTCGGCTCGCAATCTTCTTCCTCCTCGGCGCAGAGAAGTCCGTTCGGCGTTTCCCAGTGGAATCTTTGTTTCAGATTTGTGCCCTAATCACCTTCGTCTTCCGCGATTCGGGTGTCTGTTCCGCTTCACGATGTTCTTCCTCTGCTCCCGCCACTTTGCCGTTTGCCCCTACTGGCTACTGCTAAATTATATATAGGGGCTTTGTGGGAAATTTGCGACTAATACAAATATTCCCTTTTTTTTTAATATCTACCTCTATTTTTCGTTTTAAATTTTTAAGAATGAAAATTAAAAATTGGGTAGAAATTCGGAAACAATGAAATTAAATTTGTAGTTTTCTTTTTCTATTTTTATTTTTTTCAAAACCTATTATTTTATCATTTTTTAATTTTAAAATACATAATAAATATGGTATACAAAATCAAATTTAAATTTCATTTTTATTTTAACAAATCTTTATCGTTGTTTTACATGTGGATTTAACTCACTGATTGAAATAACAAGTAGTAAATTTTTTTTCTCAATTTTAACGAGAATTAGGAGCCTCCATGTGTGGAGGAGATTACAGAGGTCCTTTCGGACATCATCTAAAATCTAGGGGGCAAAATTTTGATTCTAAAGAAAATTCTCTCCTGATTGGCAAGCATTCGTGGCAAGGTTGTGATCAACTTGATTTGATCTCCGACTAGCATGTACAAATTGGATTTTCTCAAAATTTCCGACCAAAACTCTGATATCCTCAACCCAAGTCCCAGCTTCAAACATCGATGAATGGTTTCCATTGATCATCTCCACAGCTTGAAGGGAATCAAATTCAACATGTTGTTCCAAAATCCAACTGGATTTTGGAGAAATAACAAGTAGTAATCTGAAATGACTATGATGTATAAAATTTTTATACATGAAAATTATAGTATTACAATAGTGTGAAAGTTTTCCCATTTATACTAAAAAAAATATTCTAATATTCATTGTTAACTAGGTTAGTAGCATTTAAAAATAGTGTGAAATCGTAAAAAAAAAAAAAGTAAAAAAGAGAGAGAGAAAAAAAACTCTTTGTTGTCTTGTAGTGACAAAAAAAAAATAACCAACAAATAAGAAATGACAATTTTTGTACTTTAAAGTTTTTCCTTTTATTTTTTAAAAACTTGTTTTTCTAACCTTCCTAGCATAAAGTACCCTTTGAAATAATTTTTCTACCCGTTTCTTCTTTTACCTTTCTTCGTTTATTCTCCACCTCTCTCATCGAAGGAAAGACTTCTGCCTTCTCACCTTTCTTAAATCGAGCATACCTCAAAGTGGTCATGACACGTATCTTTAATCAAGAGGTCATGAATTCGAACTCATACCATCGTAATTTTCTTTTGTCGTTTTGGCATATTATCAAATGATTAAGCGACTATAAATTTAAAATTATAAAAACTAAATTGTATATACTAAAGTTTATAGGAATTAAATTGTATTTAACACATCAAAATTGTTTGAGGGCAAAATAATAACACGCCACGTGTCAAAATATCTCTTAATGCCTCCTAAGTGTCTAAATTAAATAAAATTTTACCATAAATACCGATCAAGGGCTCTAATCGAGGATCAAGCTACTGATGAATCAAAGGTCGAGAATAATCGAAGAATTGGTTACCTCAACTTCCTACTACCAATTAGTACGAGATTCCCTCTATACTTTTACACAACGTGCAACATGATGAAAAGCGATTATGACCGTGCAACACTTATAAATATAAGAGGTGTTCTACTCTTAAGTATACGCGTGAATCTAGTTAAAATTTATATACAAATAGATCTGCCTAAAACTAACTTGAACGTCAAAATGCTCACCGTTAATTTGCAATTTTCGATTCGATTCTTTCTACAAATATTATAAACATTATTTCTTTTGGAAAAGCCATCAGCCAAAAAATTGATTAATGGATATGACTTTCAGCGTAGCGTCATCAAAATTGCGTCATAAAGTTTTCGTCATTTCTTTGCATTCATTATAAAACTAACAAACTCCAACCACCCCCTCTACCTATAAATTGTCCGACAATTATAAAGAATGACTTTCGTACTAATTAAAAAAAAAAGTAAGAACGAAATGTAAAAAATATAATAAGAAATAGATGTAATATTAATAATACGAATTTTTAATTTATTAAAAAAAGGGTGAAGATTCTTTCTTAATTTAAATACTTTTTATGAACTATTTCATTTTATTCGTATTTTTAGTGATATCTTTCACAAAACTGAGACATCAGCACTATATTTAAAATTTTGAATAGGACGTAAATTTCAAGTTAAATTTAAGGTCCATTGGATAACGTTCTTGTTTCTTGTTTATAACTTTTAATTTCTTGTATAGAATTCTAAACCTTAGAAACAACCAAAACAAATTTCTCTTTTTTTATTCTCATTTTCAATTTGTTCCAAAATATAAATAAAAAGATCGTTCTAACATACTTGAATTCTTAGAGGTTGAACATGCAATACATTTTTCTTCATTAAAAATAAAAGAAATGGAAACAAAAAACAGGAACGTTACCAAACGGACACTTAGAGTTCGGTTCTAAACTTTTAGAGTTATGTTTAACGTCTTTGAACTTTAGAAAAATGTTTAATGTGTCCCTTGAATATTTTGGATGTTGTATCTATTAAGTTTCTGAACTTTCAATTTTGTATCTAAAACTTAAGAATTTATTATACACATAAGACAATTTTTGAAATTCAAATATCTATGAGATAAAAATTTGAGAATTCAGAAGTTTGTTAGACATATTTTAAAGTTTATTAAATCTATTAGACAACATCCGATTTATTAGATATTTTTAAAAGTTTTAAAATCTATTAAACACAACTTAAAACTTTTAAAAATTGAAATTTGTAATTTAATATAAACTTTTGAAAAAACAATTTAATTTTTATATGTTTGAATTATACTAATAAATGGTGATTTCGCACAATAGAAGGTAGGGTCAACCGTGTACTATAAAGGTAGGTGTGACAAAAATTGGATGGAGCTTTCCAACTTAATACATTTTAAATTGATTTGTCTTTTTCTCATTCGCTTTGACTTTAATTATAGATCATTTCAAAAGTTTAATTTATTCTACTCTCCATCTCCATCTTTAAAGTTGAATATCCTTCTCTCAACTGTTTTATTAAAGAAATAAAAAAAGAAGAGGAAAATGTGACATAGCGGTGCATTGTAAGAAAATGATGTACACGTGGATATAATTAGTTTCAATTATGCCTTGAACTTTTAGATAAATTATAATTATGTCATTATTTCAAAAGTTCCATTAACAAGAATTTCATTAACTTTTTCATTTAGAAGGTGTTGGTACTAGAAGAGAAGACTAAAAGAAATGATTGTTGTATCATGGTTGAATCACTGTCTTGAAAACAATTACCGCATGATCACGGTACTAAATCGTAGGTACGTCGGTTGCTCTCCAAAGTTAACACAACATCCAACTCGGATATGCACTCATCAGAGCGGATGGGAATTGAAAACTAGCTCAAAATTTTTGTAAAGAACTAAGAGAGTAAAAAACATTAGCCATCGTCTGGAAATAACCTTTTGTAATTATATATATTTCTCTTCTTCAAAACCAACAAACTCATATACATGGGTGAGAAGAAAACTGTTATAAAAAGAATTAATCGTTATTAGTTGACTCAATTCATTTATTTATAACAGTTATAAATTAATGTCACGAAAACAAAATGTTTAATTAAAAATAATTGTTGTTAAATCACAAAATGTAGTCTTCAAAATAACCAATTTGCTATTTAAAACATACTTTTTCTTTGTCATTCCCAACAAAAGAAAGTTCATATGACGGGGTGGTGAGTTATAAAATAGAATTTTGTTTTAGTCACATTCAAAAGGGTGTCAATTAGAAGTAGTAGGTACACATTGTGAAAAATGAGAGATATGTCAATTGGCCCAGCACTCGAGGTGCCCCTCCTCGGTCTCAAGAACTCGAGTGGTCTTTATAGTGGTAGCCGATTCGAATTGTATAGTTGTTGGGAAGCATATATCTTTGTCAAAAGATAACCCCATATATATTGTTGTAGTCATAAAATGAATAAATAAATAGCAAATCTCTTCATCTATATCAAACTCGAGATGGAAAAGAAATACTCAAATCGTTATTGACAAATATCTATCTCCACTATTAAATGTTTTACAACTAAAAGATAAAAATGCAAAAGTTGAGAATTAAAAAAAAAAAACAACGAACTATCAATTTATTAGTGGGGTGGTCGACATAAAAATAGGTCTTCACTAATCGGAACCTAAATATTTTTTCAAACCAAAATTTATTTTATCATTTTAAAAAACTAATAAAAATTCACCTTCAAATAAAAAAATCCCATAGGGAAATGGTAGCTGTTCTAGTACAGAAACAAAATGGATTAGAGTTCACATTTTGAAATTACATAACATGGAAAAATACTTAGGCCCTTATCAATAAAGATCTATCTTATGTTGATCATCATTGAATCTTTCACAATTAAAGAGGGAGAGGAATGTAAAAACATATAATTTTTTAAAAAATAATGACTTGTCAAATATTGTTGTCACTTACTACTTTCATTCATTGTTGGTCATAAAAATAGTATTTAATAATAATGTAGATCCTATTAAATAAAATAATATATTAATTAATAATGTACCGAAATATGAATGGAACTAGTAAATTTAATACTCTGTTTGGAATACGAAGGATTTCAAAATCATAATGGATTTAAAATGGATTATGCTCTTTGGTGCCACCGGATTTTTAATGATTTGAAATCTTACTTGATTTCAATTCTTGTTTTTACATAAAAAAAAAATTTCCGGATTAAAATGGCCAAATTTTGCATAATCTAAAGTTACCTATTTAACGTTGTCATATGCATAAAATTTTTAACCTTTTCATTTCTAACAAATATTTAATTAATTAATTTCAAATCATTCTCGGACAAAATAAAAAAATTAAAATCATTTTTAATGCTAAAGATTTTTCTATATATATATAAAAAGATGAAACCATGGTTCTAAATATACATTGACATGTTGATATTTCCATCGATATACATGTTTCTATGTGTTCGATATTAACATGAAGGATAAATCGATATTTTCATCCGTAGTACAAAATAACTAACAATTATGAAAAATATCAACAAAATGTCACTAATATATACATAATGTTAACATTGATTATTTTAAACTCATTTAGAAATAGAAAAATGTGTATTTGTTAATTTATTTATTTTTTACTATTTTAAAATTTTTCTAACTTTTATATCCATATTTCCGTGAAATTTGAAATCTCAACATTTTCATCAACGTCAAAAGCTAGGAGTACCGTATTTACGTGCGAAGGTTCAATGGAAACTTAAATTATCGCAAACCGCCATAGCCGAACTTTCTTACGAGCTTCCACATTCCGTACCTACATCTCTCTCTGCGTTCTCCAATTTGAGTATAAATCCACCCAACTGGAATTATATAAACAACACATTTCCACGTACAAAAGCTCTACCGTCGATGTTGAATCCTGAGGCGATGTCTCCATTAACCGCCTCCGATTTGCAGAGGATCTTCGAGACGCTCGACAGTAATGGCGACGGATTCTTGAGCGTGGAGGAGCTCAATCGCCTGCTCGACAGCATCGGGGATGGCCAAATCTGCGACGATCTCGAGTCGTTGATCGGCAAATGCAAGCTTGATTTTGAAGAATTCTTGTCTCTATACAAATCCATATCGGAGAGAAACAGAGCAGGCGCGGAAGAGGAAATTGAGAGCGATCTTTTGAATGCGTTCCAAGTGTTCGATCAAAATCGCGATGGATTTATTTGTTGCGAGGAGCTTCGGAATGTGCTGGCGAGGCTAGGGCTGTGGGATGAGCGCTGCGGCCGCGATTGCAGCAGCATGATTGGCGCATTCGATACAAATTTCGATGGACGGCTTGATTTTCAGGAGTTCAAGAACATAATGCTCTCTGCTTCCAATTCTCCATGTATTTAATTTGAGAGTTCAAATCAATGTACTATACATTGTTTAAGATTGTAAAATCTGAATATTCATTCTTTATTGGGATGTAAGTTCTGAAAATTGATCTTGAAGTATGTATTCTTTTACTTTAATTTATCTTTAGTTACTAATCCAAGTTCTTGATCAACAAGATTAATCTAAGTTATACTTAATTCTGAAAATTTTGAATTTATGATAGTAGAGTTTTTGATAAAAAGAAATTGTCATTATTGTCATCGTTGCTCATAAATTTTATTTTATTTTTTAATATAAATATGGGTATTGGTTACGTATATAATAGAGTGATTTGAAAAATAGCCAAAATTATCTAAAAATGACTAACTCGTCCTTGTCGTTTAATCCTACCATTTAAATTGGACAAAAATACCCTTAAAATAAATTGGAAATGTTATCTTATAATTGCCTTTATTCTTTGTGACAAATATACCAATAACCTTACAGAATTTAATTTTTTATTATTTGAAATTTGTAGATTTAAGGATAAAAAACTAGAGGATTACATTCTTTGAACTTCGAGATTTGGAAAAAAAATCAAACTTATAAAATTAGTTCTGTAGACTCTGAAAATAGAAAAAACATATATATATATATATATAAACAACTATCAAAACTAAATTAAGTTGCAGTAATGTGATTGAAATTATATAGAAAAATTAGAATGAAAATATGGATGGAGTAACAATCAATACCGTGACAATATTACTCACCCAATAGGGTAGGTTATAAATATTAATATTGAAAAACACACAATACAAGATTGAGTAGATAAAGATAAACATATAGTACTTGTCCATATATTTAAGGTCGGATGCGCTTACACCCCGTATGTGAAACTATTTACACGGGGTTTGTATCTACAACTATGTAGTGCAGTCATTGCTCATGACATCGGACAGAAGTGATAGGAGACCCAAAATTTTATTTTCTTCTGGAAAAGAAAGAAGACATACGTACCTAGAATCATCTATCGATTTCCAATTATTCCTTCAACACTAAAACCTATCAGCCACATGTGAAGAAAAGTGCAAGGATCAAAATAGGAACTCATATAGATGTTCTTAAAATTAGTACCATCAAAGATTAAAGAATCATGATTCTGAATGACACAATTATGAGCAGCAAAACGTTTAGGGAAGAAAAATAGCCAAAGACATGAAAGAGAAAATTGAGAGCGATTTTTTGAATACGTTTGCAAGTGTTGGATGGAAATCGCAATGAATTTATTTGTTGCGAGGAGGTTGAGAATGTGTTGGAGAGGCTAGAAGAATGTACCTTTGACTTTTTTTTTCTTTTTCTAAGTTGAAGAGTTCAAATCAATCGACCTAACATTCTTTAAGATTATAAAATTTGAATATTAATTTTAGATTTCTTTATTGGAACGAATAAGATTGATCTTGAGGTATGTAATTGGAATACTCTTTTGATACTTATCATTTTTTGTTTTCTTTTACTTTGATTTATCTATAGTTAAAATTGAAGTTCTGAACAAAGAACATTAATCTCGATGAGGTCTATGGCTCGTAGATAAGGAAATTTAAATACAACTTTCGAATGATAGAAGTCTTTAAATGCAAAGTATATGCATAATCGGCCAAAAAGTTCGAGATTTGTCGTCAAGTTGGGATGTGGTTCTTCAATACCGATAAAGTGAAGAATGAGAACTAACTGCTTTGAAAAGATGGTTGAAGTTATACATGAAGAAGAGTATAATTCTTTATGGATAAAATTTTTCTAATTTATGGTAGATTAGAGTTCTTGATAAAAAGAAGATTTTCCGGTATCATGGGTGGTTATAAATTTGGTTTTACTTTATTTTTTTTTAGTATAAATGTCAAAATTAGAAATTGAAAATCCGACATCTAGAGATATAGTGTGTGATGTTTTAACGGCTAAACTAAATTCATGTTCATAAATTTTATTCATTTTTATTATTACTTTATATTTTAACATAACTGGTTAAAGCCCGGCCTAACATGTTCTTTGTGTCCCCTATTTGTTACGTATATACATATATATAATATATAAACCTTAAACATAATTATTTGTAACTGAAATTTATGATAATTGTGGTGGCGATTATGTTTTGGGAATTTGAATCTAAAATTTATTAAAAAAGGTATTTATGGACTAAAATTTTTCAAACGTAGTTCGGCAAGTCTAGAGTTTGAATAAAATTCTTCTTCTATCTCTCTCCTTTTGAAGGTTAGCAGAATTCAACATATCTTACATAAATATGTAGTTGTTGAGTTATATATTCCCAAGATATTGATGATGCAGTGAATAATGCAGAACAAATTTTTTTTTTTAACAAAATAGAAATTGATGTATGATATGATGTTATGCAACATTGAATTCTAAATTGGGGAAAATGTTGAAATTTTATGAATATGGACTTATGAAATGGTGCATGCAAAAATATGATTTTTTTTTTAATTAAAAAGGGACTAGAATAGGTGACTAACGTGAAAACCAAGTTAAATGATAAAGACAGGAGAAACAAAAACATTGTTGAAGTAGTTGACTAAAGAATTTTTTAAAATTAAAATAATAATAATAATACTTTTCATAATTATATATATATATATATATATATATATATCTTTTTATTAAAAATCAGGAAGAAAATGAATGAAAATGCAATAAAATGAAAAGAAAAGGAAAATAATTAAAAATCCATTTCTGGTATGAATAATCAAAATTTGTATATTCACCTCCCATTTTGAATAATAATATTACTCTTCCAAAACACTCATCATCTTCATTCTAATTTTATTTTTCTTTTTTACTTATCTTGCTGATTAATTACCAAAACGAAAACAAGAACTGGTATGGTAGTAGAGCAGTGGTCTTTCTTTATTCAAATATAAGATTTATATCCCTATTTAATGCAACTTCTTTTCTCATTTCTTTATTTATTAATTAGATGTGGAATTTTTTAACAAATTTACAAGAATTTAGGCCGTAGTATTTTAATTTCTTTCTTTTTTATCAAATTAAATTCTTACAAAATTTTCCAATTGCAAATTTGCTAGGTGGATACAACACTTTTTACCTATCTTTTACCTACCATCCTTTTTAAGTCCATAGTTCAAGTCTATTTCTTCTTCTAGGAAAAAAAAATTGACAATTTATTCCACACTTTCGTAATTGTCAAACTTAAAATAAATAAATAAAAAATCCTACAAATTTAAAGACACTAATTTTGGGGTGAAGTATATTAGTACACGGGTGAAAAAAAACGATCAAATTCAACTTCGGAGCGATGCGACAGACTAACATTTATACACGATTAAGATTTTAAATGTCGATGTCGATGGAAATGTCGAGATCTCAATTTCATGGAAATATCAATACAAATGTCAATGTCGATAGATATTTTTGTAAAAGTTATAGAAATTAAAAAATGTAAAAAATATTTAAATTAACAAATAAACATTTTCATATTTCTAAATATATTAAAAAATAATTTCTTATTTATATATTAGTGACATTTTGTTGATATTTTTCATATTTTGTCGATTTTTTTATACTATGATAGAAATGTCGATTGATATTTAGAACCAGGTATACGGTATTAGATTTTTTATTTTGGTATGTAGGGAAGTTGCTGGGCATAAAATCCAGATCTATAAATCCTAATTCTAACTAGTAACTAACTTGGATAGAAATTTTGGATTTAACAGCTTAAAAAAAACTTTTAACTTTTAATCACTCGTTTGAAATAAAAAAAAAAAAGGGGAATGATTCAATATTTAAGGGCCCGTTTCATAATCATTTCGGTTTTTGGTTTTGGTTTTTCTTGTTTTTAGTTTTTAGTTTTTACTTTTCCAAACATGTTTGTGGTAAGTGCATTTTTTTAGTTTTTTGTTTTTAAAATGTTAGCAACTTGAAAATATATATTAGAGAAAGAAAATTCTATGTAAATTAAAGATGACAATGATGTAAGGTGCGAGTGGGGATGCTATCCCCATTCTAAAAATTTTTATTGAGAGATGTTCTCGAGAAAATTATCGGTTTTATAATTGTTTTTAATTATTTTTAGAATTTAAGTATAAAAGGTGTAATAAATATATATTAATTATTTAAAAATTAGAATCGGAGACGGATCAGGATATGAATTTCCTATTTTTCGGGCCGACCATGCAGAAATTTTTGTGATCTGTATAGACATGAAAATACAAGTTAGTGAAAGAAAATTAAAATTTTAGAGAAAGAGAGGAAAAGATATGTGAAAGCAAAAAAGAGAAATTATAAAGAAAAAGAAAAATTATAGTGGAAACAAATTTAGAAAAAAAAACCAGATTCAAAATATAATTTTTTTTAAAAATAAATAAATACAGAGATAAATAAAAGTTATAATGAATGAAAATTGAACGATAAAATATGGAAAAGTTATAAAACATGAAATTTTAGAGAGAAAAAAATTATGAAAAATATTAAAATTTTAGAGAGAAATGAGATTGATGTGTTAGAAAAGAAAAATACAAAATAAAAATACAAAAAATTTTGAAGAGATACAAATAATAATAAATATTCAAAATATGAAAATTTTAGAGAGAGAAAAAATAAATTTTGTAGAGAGAAATTTAAGAAAAAAAACTGTTAGAGAGAAATAAATTTTTTGAGATAAATATGAGAAAGAAAAAAATTGAGTATTAGAAGTAAAAAATCAAATTTTGAAAAATAGGAACCTGTTTTTTAAAACTATTTTTTTTTGTTTTTGAAATTTATATAGAATTTCAAAATGATTATTAAAAACAAAAAATAAAAAATTGAATTGGTTATCAAACCACCTTATTTTTTAAAAACTAAAAACTAAAAACAAAATGGTTATGACCTAAAAAATCAATTTTGAATTTCAAAATAGATTTGATAAATTTTTTTGAAATTCAAAATTGTAATCTTTATTCAAAATATGGTTTTATTTATTAAGATGTGGAATTTTTTAAATAAATTTACGGAAATTTAAGAAGTAAAGTAATATTATTAGCATTCAGCGACGAAATATAAAAGAGAAGGACACAACTTGTTATTGGAGCCCTTTTGTTCTATTGAACCCACTTGGGATTCAGCTTCTACAACTTTTGAGTACTTTTTGGTTTAATGTGGTGGAAATCACTAAGCTCTTTACAACTTTTGCAAGTTAATGATTTCATATATATATCCATTTCACTCATAGAAATTGAGTTTGTATCTACTATTTTCTCTAAATTTAGTTTGAATAGTATATTTGAGTTTGTATCACTTGAATGGAGCCCTTTTGTATCCATTTCACTCGTTAAATGCCACGTAATCCTGACGTAAAAGGGTCTACCTCATTGTTTCCGAGATAAGAGGTATCTTCGAAGGGGTTTAGAAAAAAAATCACCTCATTAAAAGTCATTTTAAAGGTCATTTTCTTTAAGTTTTGTGGATTTTAAACTTAGTTTATTGGTTTTTGTATCTTTTTGGATTTTGGGGGTTTACTCTTGAGTACCTAAAATTCTTTGTCTTTGCATATTCAAAATATCCTTATATCATTGTGGTTTTCCTCTTAATTTTGCATTTTTTGTATGATTTTAATTCTTTCCAAATAATTTGTTATGAATTTGAGAAGTTTTGATGTTTAAATAAAACAACATATAATTATATATTTGTAGTCATTAAATGCACTTATATTTGTAGAACTTGTGTTTGCACCATCATTGTGATGTGGAATGGCCAATATCATCCTTTCGGGATACCATTAGTAGATAAACTAAAAATGTGTACTTGTCAAACATACTTGGATAAAGTTTGAATAAAGTTCTATGAAAATAGAGTATAATTCTCTTCTTCATCTCTCTTCCCTTATCTCTTATTTTCTTTAGCTCAGCATTCAATTTTTTTTTTTATATATATACCTTGAATTACAAGATTGATTGAAAGGGAGACGGATTTGGAACAATGAAAAACTTTAGGCACCAAATAGACACTTACTCTAAAGAGACAAAGTGTTCGTTTTGAAGTAGATACTAATCTCATATCTCAGTGACAAAAAATGTATCTTTCCCTAAATAAAACTATATGAATGTAGATAATTAGTGAGAGAAATTAGATAAGATGCATATTAACATCCATGGTTCGATTCCCTATCTTATCATTGTTGGACTAAAATAACACCTCATCTGTTACATTTTGTTTTTTCGCACCACCCATAAATTATTTTCTAGAAAGCAAATTTAGGTGCTTCACTTTGTTCAAAACTCTTTTTAAATCTTAGTGAAAAAATAAACCCCTTTAGATATGATAGAATTAATAGGTTCTTTAGGTTGACTAGTTTTGATTTAGATGCAACTAAACTAACTCGTATAGAATTGAATTAATTTTGGCTTTCAGAACTACCTTCAATTGCGCTATACTACATCAAATTTGGCTCAAATTCATTGTTTACTATATTAAAACAGTAAATAAGAATATAGACTTTTTTCATTATTATTATACCAAACATTTGTAGAAATTGAAAGAAAAAAATTTAACTCAAGAAAAGTCAAGTTTGATTAGATCTAGAACCCCTTTATTGTTCTAGGCTTCTAGCACATCACTAAGAACAAACTAAGAAAATAAATAAATAGAAAGAGTGAAACATACTTTCACTAATTTTTTTTATATCTTGAGAAACACAAAGAATTTTCACTCTAAAACTGACAAGCAGCCCCTAAAAGCACAGGCATAGAGCATGTAGATTGATGTAGGAAATATGGGGACAAAAATTCTCAGCCAAACAAAGTACCTTTACATCATTGAATTAAATTCTGTTTACGTTCAAGTTTTCTTTTAACAAGATACATTCTGGGAATGATTGAACTGAATGCTCTTCTTATAGCCAAATTACCAAAAAGTCCTTTCTAGCTAGCACACAAAACAAATATCATAATGACCTTACTTGAGTTTTATTTCACAGAACAATCCTTGCAAGCAGCAGTATTTACCTGTTTAGACATGTACGCTTCATAGATTTCCACGACGAGCCGTGGATCCTTCTCGACAAGCTCCATGTACTCCTCCCTTTTGGTAAGCTTGTCCATGTTGTCGATAATCACCGACAGTGCTGCGTCGATCATATGCTGGCCATTGTGCTGGTGGGCAAAGGTGTAGTTCATAATTGAGTTGTCCCAGTTCAGTCTTGAAATTAGGAACTTCTCACAATGTGCCTTGAGATGCTTTACTTGGTACTTTTCAGCCAAAACTAAAAGGTCATAAGCCATTTGCTCATCTAGACAGGCTTCTGCTGTGTACAAATAGTTGACAAAGGCACGGAGGGCATCAAACGAAACGTCACTGATCTTTATGGTACCGCTTCGGCTTTCCTCCATTTCGTTCTCGAGCATAGCTTTGAAAACTGGGGAGCGACTCACCTGAAGAATAAACGAGAACATTGATTTATGATGGAAAGGAAAAAAGGGATGGCAGGCTCCTGTCTCCATACTAAAACAATACTCCAAACTAACAACCCGAGTAGCTAGGCAAACTTATACGCAAATGTATGTGGAACTCAGCTGAAACAGTATCCACTTTCACATTTGCAATGAAAAAGAAAAAACGTGATTCGGAGTAAATGAAAGTGATAACACGTCTCCTAACTAAGTTCTTAGTGCCTAATCACAAACCAAGTTGTTAATATTAATATGCTCCTATCCCATTCCCTGTTTTCTGCCATCTAGTAATCACACCAAATTTTGCAATCATGTTAAGATTTTCATCTGTAAATCTTCCGACCTTCTGTTTTCTCTCGCTTGTGTTTGATCTGCAGTCAGAAAGAGAGGATCTGAGATTCTGAGGGCCTCTCATCTCTCAGTTAGAATGCCTTCGAGCAGATAGGGAGAGACATCTAAATAGGTAATTTGAGTGAAAGATGCCTCATAATATAAAACCATTTCTTAGGGGGTGAAAAGGGAAATTTGATTCGTGAAACTGATAATCCCGCATTTACGAATTTTAAGTTGCTAGTGTAATATGTTGATGTGGTTAAGATAATAAAACTCAACTGATTCAATGAAGCATAAGCTATATGGCAATAGAACACGTCACTTCCAAAATTTTAATAAAAGAGTTCTAAGGTTAAAAAGAAAGTAAAGTATATCACATACAGATGAGAAAGTCACGTTCAGGGATGTACAGGCACGAGCGCATATGTAACGTGTCATCCCAATGTTCCCACTCGATGAAATCAAAATGTTGCTCAGAATATTTAATTTCAAAAGGTTAAATTATATACGTCCAAAAGAAAATATAATCGTTTTCCATTGTAGATAATGGTCTACATTATGTCTAAGAAGGAAACGGTCTCTGCTTGGGAGGGGAAAAAAAGATAGACAGAAGAGAAAAGATGAAATGAAAAACAAACAAAAGAATATAAGATTTAATGTGCAGTTACTTTGCATGGAAAAATAATTTCAGCCACTGAGGGTGATAGATATTTTTTCCTCGCTCCAGATTCCCACAAAGCAAAAGATATCTAGACAAAGAAGTCTAGCAATATCAGAAGTGGAAGATGTATTGACCTTGGCCACAATAACAAAATAATCAATGCAATTTCAAATTTTATATGAAGTATCACTTTGTTGCCTTGTTTCAAGCCTTTTGGTTCTGAGAAAACCGAGTCTTCAGGTAGCATGGAAAGTAAATTATTTACAAATGTTCATTTACAAACTAATACAACCATGAACTTTAGCGTGACAAAATAAAACACAAAATTACAAACTAAAGCAGGACATCTAGTTCTCAAAAATTAGAAATAGAGGGATTTCATCAAAATAATACTAATAAAAAAATGCCACACATAGGTCAAAAACTAAGTTTTCAGCCCCACACACGTCTTCTCTTCTTTATTTTATCTCAGAACTCCTGTTATTTCTTCCCATCCAAATACACCAAAGTACAACAATAAAAAGAGCTCTCTCTCTTATTCTATGACAAAACAAAACCAATTGCTTCGACAAAAAGGTAGATTAAAAAATGACACAACAATTTATTTCAAACGTGTTTAGGAAAATGACAATTGCAAAACAATTAACTATATCCTTCCTACTTCAACCGCATGAAAAATAGATGTGCAGTCCCTGGAAAAGGAAAAGAAAAATTAGAACTTCTCTAGGGACTCTTGCCAGACAATTTGTTCTAACTGGAGCGAAATCCAAAACCTCTATAGAGGAAAGCAAACAATTAATGAGATATGCTCGATTACCCTAAGGGTCTTTCTTCGATGAAAGAAAAAAGAAAAAGAAAAAGCCCCACTAAAGGAGATAAAGGATGAGTTAAACTGAGAGTAAAGAATTCCCTATCACCAAAATTCCTAAGGAAGTTAAAATGCTAAACATTAATAGGAGTAATCAACAGAAAGAGAGAGAAAAATATTTAATGATACTAGAAGAAATGATAAAGACATTAAAAAAAGGGGCAAGAACAAGAGAGAAACTCACCTATCACCGAACAACCTATATTTTCAACTCGGTCAACAGACCAGAGGAGATGAAGTTAGAAAATCAAAACAAACCGCAAGACATAATTTTTCAAGGAATCACGTGGGAGCCCCTACAAAGTAAGACTGGAACCTCACCTAATGTCACTTAACACTTTTTTTTTCCAGTGATCAAATGGCAAAAGAAACTGAAAAGACAAAAGTCAATCAATAATTATTTTCTTATTAAATTAATTTTGCTTTTGACATGGTTACCAACACCCAAGCCTCCTCCAAAGATAGGGCTACAAATCAACTCCCCACTAACAGTACTAACCAAGACATACATCCACCTTTCAGAGGAGTAGGCAACAAACAGAAAGTTATAAAAAGTACTACAATTATTGAGAATAAGGGAGAAAGATAATTCCAAAATTCTTAGGTTAGAAACCCAAAGAGAGCCATTGAACCTAACCAAGGCACAAACCTCCTCAAGTCTCTAAAAACTCTACTATTCCTCTCAAGCCAAATATCACGCCAAAGGGCACTCCCCTTGTCTCATAATGAAGGGTGAAACACCTCCTCCTCCATAGACCAGCATGATCAATGTTGAACCAACTACACCCAAAAGCCTCTAAAAAATATAGCAAACTATAACCCCACAAAACATGCTCCATATCCTCCGACTATCCTTACCATTAATATACCATTAAGACCCCGAAGCAAAGAAGAGAACCCTTGAATATGGTCAATAGTGTTAATCCTCTCGTGCATGACTAACCAAATGAAGAATTTAACCTTCTTAAAGAGTCTAACCTTCCAAGGCAAGGGGCAGGAAAAACCACACAAAAGAGAGAAAAATGAACTACAAGAATAAGTGGTATACTGCTCAAAATTGATCAAACCAAAGTCAATCTCCTCCTACCAACAAAAAAATCATTGGCCCCACTTTGATTCTCTTATCACTTTTTCCAAATTTCACCAAATGCATCAAAATGATTTCCTAAAATTCAGAACACTACTCTTCTGAATACAAGAAAAAAAATAGCACCATCCCCAACTGCCCACTATTTCCTCACCTCCCATGCAACATCGCTCATCAGCTGTCACCTATTTCTTAACCACATTCTGGATTTCGCAATTGTAGGCCCTTCCATGATTCTTTATTCCTCATTTGGCCACTATCCTTGATGGCTAACGAGTCACATCCTTGGTGGGTGACGAGGAACAAAGGACCATGGTGGGGCCTACAGTCATGAAAGTGAGAATGTAGTCAAGAAATGCATATACTGAATTGTATGCCTATCAAATCACCCACAAGTATTGAATTTTTAACGGGGGTAGAGAAGCCGACCTAATCTCCACACTCCCACATTTCTTGTACTAAAAAAGAAAATAGGGATAGAGAATCAAATTTCCCATGGAACTATTATCATCACAATCGGGAACATAAAGGAGGTGGGGGCAACTTTGTTTGTTAGCCCTCAAAAGTTTCTCTAGGTAAAAGTTTCCAAGAGAATGTTGTAGGTTAGTATCAGAGTTGGAAATGGTAGATATTTCCCTCAAAGAAAAAAAGTATTGAGGCCCATCCTCTGCATCCCAATCATTTATATTTCTTCTAAATTTCAGATTTGCTTTCAAACAGATGTGTTGTATCTAATAGTCAAAGAGATGCTAGAACATTACACAATAGAACTAAAAAACCAGCACAAAATCCCCCAACCATGTGGCTTTACAAGGCATGATTATTTCACCATTACCCAAATTTAGGTTACCGAAGGATTTAATTGATAAACCATTCTAGAGTTGAAAATCCGAGAGCTTTAATTGCAAGCTCTCTCCACCACTCAAATGCTTTATCTATTGCAATCAACCCGTACTTACTAGGAATGATAAAAAAGACTCCCTAGAAACCCAAAGTCATTTCACGTGAGGACTATGTTCTTTATCCTTAGATTTCCAAGACCATGGCCACTGGCCACCAACTCCCATGCCATAAAAATTGTAGCCTAATCAACAAAGGGTCCTACTCCCTTTATTTCCAACCCTTTTCAACGGAAATTTCTATTTCTTCAACATCTAAGCTACTCCACAACCTCATCACTGATTAGCAATAAAAATAGATTTTATAGTAAACTAGCAGAAGAATTCAACTATATTCAAGCAAGAGTTCATAGTTTCATCCCTTCCACATGTTTCTTTTTTTATAAGAAACAACACTTTCATTGAGAAAAATGAAAAGAGATACCAGAAGAACAAAAACAGCCCTGAGAGAAAGAGCCCCTTAAAGAAAAGAACTTCAATCCAAAAGAATGAGACCTAACGGATAATTACAAAAGGCCTTAGAAACTGAACCCCATAAAGAAGTATTAAATCTAATGAGATCCGAAACATAATCTACAGATTTCTCCACACCCCTAAACATTCTATGATTTCTCTCTATCCAAATGCCCCAAATAGTAGCCATGAAACAAGCCTGCCACAAAAAGTGACCCCTGTCTCGAAAGGGGGGTGTGACAGTACTTCCTCCATCATCGCCCTGCACTCCCTTGAGCTGACCCAAGACATCCCAAAGCATTTCAAGAAACGGAGCCAAACATCCTGCGCAAACTGACAAGTCCACAACAAATGCTCCAAATCTTCCGAAGCATTTCTACAAAGAACGCACCATTGCGGGCCCATACAAAAGGAGGAAATCCTCTGAATGCGATCTAAAGTACTGACTTTCTCAAGTAAAACTTGTCACCCAAAGAACTTGATCTTCGTCGAAATCTAAATCTTCCAAAGAGAGTTAAACCAATGGGTCGAAGGGGAAGAAGAAAAAGGGGAAATCAAGATATTGAAATAAGAGCTGCAAGAAAAACCTTTCGAGGGGTTGGGGGTCCACACCCACACATCCTGCCTCCCATAATGGACAGACACCTCTGACAAAAGAACTAGTAACGCAGAAGCTTCTAAAGACTCCCGATCCCTTCCACATGTTTCCAGGATATAGGTATTATAAAATGCATACAAAACCATAAACATTAATGAAAACCTCCTCTTTGTTAACTTAGTCATACTTGATTATCAAAATACCATCAGAGAAGGAATGAAAGAAAATATTTGAACTTCATAAAAGGGAAGGCTTGAAATCAAATTTGTCTACTAGCTAGAGAAAATTTTGAGTATCTTGGTGCAAATGTTCCCTATCTTTAAACACTATAGCTTTGTCCCTCTTTTAACCAATTGGAGAGCCTTTTTGTAACACCTTTGGTTTGGAATTTCTCCCCTCTATTATATCTTTATCATTTCATTACATTAATGAAATCGTTTCTCTTCCAAAAAAAAAAAGTCTCTAAAGACCTTGTCCAGATTCTATGGAGAGACCAGTTCGTTCAGTTTATCCAGGGTCGATTTCAGGAGGATTTTGGGGTTTTCTCGACTTGTAATAGGGAGTGTAGGGCGATGATGAAGGAGGTGTTGTCCCCTTTTTTTAAGGATGGAGGAATTCTTTTGTGGCAAGCTTATCCTTTTGTTATTTTGTGGGGTATGTGACTTGAGAGGAACAATAGAATTTTTAAGGAGGTTTGACTGTAGAGAGGTCTTCAGAGAATATTTAGGAGATTGTTAGATTTAATATCTCTGTCCCTTGTTTCTTATCAAAAAATAAATAAAAATACCTCTATGTGATACTGGTTACGAAGGTTTTTTGCAATTATAAGTTAAGTGTTATTCTTTTGGATTTGAGTCCCTTCTTACAAATTGGTCCCCTTTTTGTCAAGTTCGTTTTTTTTTGTATGTCTCTCATGTATTCTTCCTTTTTTTTTTTTTATAAGAAACTAGACTTTCATTATCAAAGGAGATTTACAAAAAAAGGGGGGGAGATGAGCTATCCCCACTTGCCAAGGAATTACAAAAAAACCTTCCCAATTGGCAAAAATTTGAGAGACACCATAATTACAAAAGGCTTTATGACTAGCAGCCCACGAAGAGACAAATTCTAACATTCTCCCAGAAAATCCCTCTCTCGGTCTCTTACCCCAAAAAGCATCTTCTATTCCTTTCGAACCAAAGTTTCCAAACCAACCCAGCAATATACCAAACGACCAGAGGAGACTCGCTTTTCCTTTAAAGAACGTTACTTTAAACAACTGCAGAAATGTATCAGCGACATTGTTGGGGAAGCACCAACTCATGTTAAACATCTGGAAGAGATCTATCCAATAGGTTGAGGCAAAGGGGCAGTTGAGGACCAGGTGCCATTGATCTTCTTCACTATTCTTGCACAACACACACCAACTGGGGGAAAGGCACATATTCGACATCACCTTTTGAACTCTAGAGCAAGTTTTTAGCCTTTCATGCATTCAACCACAAGCGAATCTTGACCTTCTTAGGGACCTCGAGCTTCCATATAAAGTTTCCTTTAAAGTAATCCGCCCTTGAGGTCTCTTGTGAGAGGATAACCATGAATGACTTGATCGAGAACATTCCACTATTATCAAGAGACCAAACCTTCCTATCACATACGGTAGAGGGATGAAAGCTAGCCAAGGCATTAGATAAATCAGCCTATGCTTTAATTTTCGGGTCTGAAAGGTTCCTTCTAAAGACTAGGTCCCATCCATTACTCTCTTCAACCCAGCATTGGTCAACAGACAACTCCTTTGAGGCAGTCACTCGATACAGTCTTGGATAGGCTTTGAACTTGGGCTCGCTTATCAACCATGGATCCTTCCAAAAGAGAGTTCTATCCCCTTTTCCCACCTTCAGCGTGTAAAGCCCATCAGCTTTTTTACAAGAAACGGTAATATCAACCCACGGGCCCTTGAACTCCATCGCTCCCGTCAGATCTAGCCACCATTCTTTATCATGGAGTTGGTATTTACTCGCAATCATCCTTCTCCAAAGGGCCTCTGTCTCCGTCATGAATCTCCAGCCCCACTTAGCAAGCAAGGGATGGTTTTTGTTTGCTAACTTACCAATGCCCAGACCTCCTTTTGGTTCAGATTCAGTGACCAACTCCCAACGAATCAGGTTAGGGCCAGCCCCCTCATCATTCGCTTTCCAGAAGAAGTTTCGAATGAGCTGCTCAAGATGCATAATAGTTTGCCTCGGGCATTTAAACATCGAAAAGTGGTAATGCGGAATGCTAGTGAGCACCAAATTTACCATAGTAAGTCTGCCCCCCCTCGAGAGACAAAGAGACTTCCACTTGGCCAAACGTCTTTCCACTTTCTCTTCAATAGGTTGCCAAAACGCCTTCCTTCTGTGATTCCCTCCCAGAGGCATGCCCAAATAGAACAGAGGCCATTTTCCTACTTCACACCCAGCTGTTTGCAATAAAAGCAAGCAGCTCATCTGGAATATTCACACCAGCCACTTGAGACTTGGCCATGTTGATTTTGAAGCCTGAGATATCTTCAAAACAACACACCATTTCCTTCAGGTTCGAAAGGAGCAAGTTATCATCTTTTGAGAAAATGAGCGTGTCATCTGCAAACTGTAGATGATTCCAATACGTGTATTCTTCCATTTTAACCAAAGAAAAGCTTGGTTTCTTTTTCTTTTTTAATATATATACATGTGACCCTTTTAGCTCGAGGATCATATTTGTACGCCAAATTTCAAGCTCACTACACCGATGTTGATGGATTTGACAGTTAAATCTTACTTATAAGCAATTTATAGCTAAAATAGATGGCCACTTGGATTCTAAAAAACAACTGGGAATTTACAGCTACACAAAGCCAGACCGAGATCAAATCAAAACAACAAAATAGAGTAACATGAGTGGATAACCAAGTTAAGCCTGTAAAATTCGTACTAACCAAGACAGCTTTATGAGCCGGCAGGGGCACGGCGTATCTCTCAGGCCCATCACCGGAGGCGATCAAAACAACATCCGTAAAGCAAGGAGCATTCGACCTATTGTGAAGATGATCGAGAGGGGACCAGAACCTGAGGAAAGCGACCTTCGCTTTCAAGTCTTCGATCTCCCGCTTGAGCTCTTCCTCAGTCTCGTTAGCTTCCTCGTAGCACTCCTTGCAGGTCCCGGCGTCGCGTGACCGGTAATCCTCCAGGCACGACAAGCACTTCATCACGTCGTGGTCGGACTCGCTCTCCGTGTCCGAAACGGCTCTCGACGACACGCACCGGCGGCGATGCATCGGAAAATGGTCGGCGGCGATGTGTGAAGCTTTCTTTCCCTCTTTGCTTCGATTGATCAACGGGCTTTCGAAAGCGAATGGGATGGAGGATTACTTTCTGGAATTGATCTAATGAATCTTCTGTTCCGAAGAACAGTATAATATTTTCTCAAACTAGAATTATTGACATTCATGAGAAGACATTGGCGAGCCTCGAGATACCACTGGTTTTTGGCGTATTAGGGTAATTTTAAAAAGTTGCTTCCAAAATATTGTGGTTTTTGGATTGTGAAATGAAAGGGTACTTCTGGAAATATGAAAAAGAGCACTTTTTTAGAAAGGGAAATACTTGGCTAACGTCATTAAATATTCGACAGACAGAGAAATGCTTCAATAGAAAAAACAATAAATTAAAGATTAAAAAAGTCACGAGTTTAATTGTGTTGGAGAATTTCCTCGAGCCAAATTTTTTCCAAGAAAAATATCTAGATGGCCTAAACCAGCTTAGATTAGCAAAGATGAAAAACATTGAATTCGACACATGGACAATTGGACATCTCATTAAGAACGTTTGACGAAGTTGGAGAAAAAAAAGGTTATACTTCTCAGCATTTCATTATTGTTTATGGGTTAAATTGTAAGTTTGGTATCGAGAATCAAATCATATATGTTGTTATAGGAAGTAAAACAGTCCAAACGAAAATGAGAATCGAACCGGGAAGAAGAAGGAAAAACCCCGAAACAACTACCAACCGGGGCCGACCGCCTCGGCGTCGAGGTGCTATGCTCGACGCCGAGGCACCGAGTTGTTCTTGGCTACGAGTCAAGAACACCTCTCGACTTCTCTCTCGATCGACTTGTGTTTGTAGAACCTCGAGCCAATTCTGATGTTGGAGCCCGTAACAACGAAGCATTTCACGGCCCAAGAAGCCCGATGATGTGAATGACCTAGGAGGGAGGAAAACCTATAAATAAGGAAAGGGGTCACACCTAAAAGGTACGTTGAAACCTCCTACTCTTCTCCTACTCTCCTCACTCGACTTCCCCGATGCTAATTTAAGCATCGGAGCCCGTGTGGCCAAAGCCATCGGTCCTAGTGCTATTCTGTTTTGCAGGTCGCATCGATCCATTCCATACTTAGAAAATTGGTGCAAATTTGGTGAGATCTTAGGAGGCCAAATTTATGCATCAACAATTGACGTCGTCTGTGGGGACGATGCAGTTCGAGCAAACTTAGCCGAGACAAAATCCTAATCCGAGGAGGGAGCCTAGACGAAATCCTAATCCAATGAGGGAGCCGAGACGAAATCCTAATCCGATGAGGGTAACATGGAGCAAGTCGACACAATCCCTGGTGGAAGACGACAATGTTTCGGAAAGAAAAGCCCAAACGAGGTTGCCGACCACCCGAGGGAAGCAAATTCGAGCACTGGTCATCGACTAAATTCAACCACCTTTGATAGGGAAGAACCAGCTGAGGAGATGGAATCTATTCATTTGACGTCCGAGGATCGACGAATCAACAATTGGGAATTGAAGAAAGAAAGAGACCTATAGACTTCCTCATAAGCAATGCGTGTTCGCGTGGTCGCATGAAGATATGCCAGAAATCAATCGATGAGTCATGGTACACCGACTAGTCGACGGGAGCTGTAAACTAGAGAAACAGAAGCCCCGTGCATTCAACCAAGAAAGGAACGAGATTATAGCTGAATAGGTAGATGAGCTATAGAAAGCAAGCTTCATTCGAGAAGTGCATTATCCCTAAGGGATATCTGACACGGTGCTGGTAAAGAAGCCAAATGGCAAATGGAAAATGAGCATCGACTTTACCGACCTAAATAAGGCTCGACCAAAAGACCCTTTTCCCTTGCCTCGAATAAGGTCTAAAAGCCAACAATATGAACTCTGGAGAGATCAACGATGTTCCGACTACGATTGTCATCCGAGAAGAGGGATGAGCGAGGGCAGGTCCTATGCGATGAAATTTCGAAAGAGATAAGCCCACGAGTTTCAAGATAGGAAAAGCAACATGCCCAGAACCCTAATCAGATTAACGAGATGAACGACTAGGTCTTGACTGTAAAATGAGAATATATCATGCTGGTAGGTCAACAAGGTGACCACTTAACCACCAGAAGAATGGGAACAAGTCACACCATGAGATTAGATCACGCAACTAGTTTGATACCCTCGACAGATAACGACACAATCGACTGCGATGAAAAGGCCGACCCGAGCCCTAGTCATCACATGGAATCATCCACCCGAGTTAGGGAAAACCTGCTGGAGAATCATAATCGATCCCTTTAAACATCCGAAGAGCAACGAATTAGCCCAGAACACCTCGGATCCGAGGAAATCTTGGGTTAAACAAATCGACATGGATTATGGGGGCTGCCCTTTTTTGAGATAGTCGAGGGAAAAGTAAATCAACAAGTTCTGGATAGGACCTAGAACTAACGAATCAACAAATTCCAGGACAGATCCTGGATAAGATAAGTCAACCCATCAGAAGAAGAAGAAGAAGAGAATGACTGCTCAGACCCGATGAAGTCTAGGGCAAAGCAAGTCTACAAGTTCTGGGGCAGGACCCAGAGCAAGCAAATCGACGAGTTTCAAGACAGATCCTGGATGAGGCAAATCGATGGATTCTAAAATAGGTTTCGGGAGAAACGATCAACAAATCCCATAATGGAGAAAGCAACTTGATGAAGTTCTAAGGCATCCAAAAGACAAACTGGCTGTTGTGAAAAGTCAAGGGAGTGTGTCAAGAACACAACCCTCATTTTTAAAAACTCAAGCAACAAAAGAAAAGGCAACCTATGCCTGTCTGAGGTCCGTGGAAGAACAAAGCCACTGTAAAGACCTAACAAGCGAACTATATAACTGGTCATGACCAGACTCTAGGGCACGATCGGTTCCAAGGCATGACCAGGTCTCGGCCGAGCAAGTCTCTACCGACTAGATGTCTTTTGCCAACTAAGTCTCTGTTATCGACCAGGTATCTTCTATCGACCAGGCTTATTCTGTTGACCAGACCTATTCCACCGATCAGGCATCTTCTACCGACTATGTCTCTTCCGCTGACCAGATCCAGATAACTACACGACAGTAAAAGTCAGTAGCACGTAGTACAAGAACTGCCTGGAAAGCCGACCCGGTTTCCAAAAATTTGTGCTGGCAAGGAGAAGTCACTTAGTCTACACGAGTAGTTAGAAGAAAGCAACACAGGAGAGAACAACAAGGCTTGAGGTACTTGAAAAAGTTTTCATTTGATACTTTAAACAAAACCTCCTCAAGTGGGGGCTAGTGAGTAACAATGGTCAAGGAACTCGAGCTGGGATAGACCTAGAAGCAGGTAGATAAGCTAGAAGCCAATCAGTGAAACCAGGGAAGAAAATCCTAAGGTGCTGAAAAAGGTAGGCATACTGCCCAGCAAGGTCAAAACAAAAAGCAGGCAAGCCTAAACCGGTTAATGAAACCCACGGGTAGAAAACCATTTGGCAAAAGCCATAATAAGTTAGAAACCCGAGGGTGTTGATTGAACTTGAGTTAAAAACCGGCAGAAGCCAAATATGTTAAGACACCCAAGGGTGTCAACTAAACTCAGGGTATAAAAATCATTGGCAAAAGCCAAATAGGTTAGAAACTCGAGAGTGAACCCTGGGGTATAAGGCATGGGCAAAAGCTAAACAGGTTAGAAATCCAAATGGAGTACTACTAGCCCTGCTGAGAAGTTAGATCCCAATGCCAAAATCTAAACGGTAGAAACTAACCGTATAGCAGTGCCTAAGAGATTTGATTGCAACCGATTACAATGAAAGAGAATAGGGGCTATGACAGCCAGCCCAAAAAACGATAATTGACAGTGACAAAATGATATCGACTGGACTCAGGGTATGAAGCGATTAACAAAAACCAAATAGGTTAGAAACCCAAGAGTGAACCCTAGATATAAAACCTTAGGCAAAATCCAAACAGGTTAACTCAATGGGGTACAGCTAGCCCAGCTAAAAGTTGTATCCTAAAAGACCTAAACAGTTAAAATTAATTGTATGACAAAGCCCAAGAGGCTTGACCATGACAGACTATGACAAAAAGGGTATGAGGGCTAAAAAGGCCAACCCATGAAACGACAATTAACCCAGACGAGATGGTACGAGGGGCTGTTCCACAAAAACAGTCACTCATGGAACGACTGAGCAACAAGTACTCTCAAATATAGAAGTCTTAACATTTTACTTACGCTCATCAGCTTCTATTTTGAGAGTTGAAGCTATTGTTATCGGAAGTAAAACAGTCCAAACGAGAATGAGAATCGGACCGGGAAGAAGAAGGAAGAACCCCGAAACAACTACCAACTGGGGTCGACCCAAAACCTAAGGGCCAACCCACTCAACGGCCGACCCGACCTCGGTGTTGAGGCGCCGAGGTGTTTTCGGCTACGGGTCGAGAACACCTCTCGACTTCTCTCTCGGTCCCTGCTCGGTCAACTTGTGTTTGTAAAACCTCGACCCAGTTCCGATGTTGGAGCCCACAACAACGAAGCATCTCACAACCCAAGAAGCCCGATGATGTGAATGACCTAAGGTTCGAATAATTAAACCCTAGGAGGGAGGAAAAACTGTAAATAAGGAAAGGGGTCACACCTAAAAGGTATGTTGAAACCTCCTACTCTTCTCCTCACTCGACTTCCCCAATGCTAACTTAAGCATCAGAGCCCGTGTGCCCAAAGCCACACCAGTTCTAGTGCTATTCTGTTTTGCAGGTCACATCGATCCCTTCCATACTTAAAAGACTGGTGTCAATTTGGCGAGATCTCAGGGGACCAAATTTCTACATCAACACCTGTAGATAGATACGACATGTACTACCATTTTTTTTTTCTTTTTTTCTTTTTTAATACAACATGTGGGGTGGGATCAAACTCACAATCTCTTGGTTTAAGATATATGTCAATTATCGTTTAGTTAGGTTAGTTTTGACATATATATTACTATTTTAAATTCAACGGTTTGATCATTCATTCCTTATAATTGTTTAATTAACAAAAGAAAAAAAAATTTGGTGCCTAACTTTTAAGGTTTTTTAATAAGTGCATGAAGTTTAATGCACCTATTCAAACGGAAGAACTAAAATGGTAAAAATTCAATGTGACGAATTGTTTTGGCTGGTCAATAGTCAAAGTCCAATATATATATATATATATATATACATCTGGAATCACTCACAAATAATTTAT